ATTATTATTATTATTATTATTATTAGTTTGAATGATTTCTACATCATCAGTCCTTTTTTCTGCTCTGTTGCCAACATGTACAGTAGCCTAATGGGAAATCCAGAGTCTTGCCCGTTTAGCGTTAGCCGTTAGCTTCTCCAGCCGATCACACGGTCACCTGGTTTTTGCACACTCCAGTTCTATAGAACCTCCTTGAGAATCATATGCACTCATGGAGAAGGTTTTTTTTTTTTTTTAGAATATGCATACTTTAAACTCACAACAACAAAAAATACGTTTTGCAAAAATGATGTATGAATGCTGAGCCCTGAATAAGTTAGCAAAAGAAAAAAATGAATAGAAGCTAAATAGCTAAATCTACAAGTAAAATAAGATAACAGAAATAGGGTAAGTATGCTCAAACAGATTTTGAAAAAATATTGTTTTTAAAGTAACTTAAAAAATTCACATCTATTTCCGTGGAGAAAATATTGTATGTGAAAAATAGAAGCAGTTTGAATTGTATATTAAAAACAGGAAAACGATAGTGGAAAGGCTAAGTCAGCATTCACACTATTAACATCTAAGATAGGCGATGACACTTTGAAGACTAGTATTATGGGTCTCAGGAGCCAATTTTATTCTGCAATTTATGTGACGTGTGCTGCTGACCTCCTGACCAGGTCACCCTTGAAAAAGGGATCTTGATCTCAACGGGCTCTACTTGGTTAAATAAAGGTGATTTATTGATTGATTGATTGATTGATTGATTGATTGATTGATTGATTGATTGATTGATTGAATGAATGTATTCTGCAGTAGCTCTTCACCAAACTCCTTGATCCCTATAATGAATGCTAACCTTACATATTGTTAAAGATGTAATTTAGGTGTAATATTAAATCAGCACTGCAAAAGATTCAGTTCCTGTTCGCTAGTGCCGTAACTTATTAAGATGTGCAAAACGTCTTCTAGACTGGTAAACTTACAGTATCAACCACACCTGTCTTTCTACCTCAACAAATTTGAGTGTAAATATATACCAACACTTCAAAAGTGTTGCACTTTTCCATACTAAACAGCTCTTCTATGGAAGTCACCATTGGTGATCTACTTTCAGTTGGGCTGTTTCAGTAGGTAAACAAACACATGTGGGGAGTTGGCAACATTTGTGACTGTTCCTGTTCCAGCTTCAACTTCAGGGTCTGCCACAGAGGTCTGTTCATGTGCAGCCTTTGACGATAATGCAACTGGAAGGGAGACAACTGTTTAAGGATCATCTACAATTTGCAAAATTAGGCTGTAATAATAAATAGCATGGATAGAATTGTCAGTGTTTTCAACTAAATCCCATCAGACATTTAGTGAATGAATAAGACATCGTGTCTCCTTCTAATCCAGCTGGTAAATTACAAACATGGTGACTGAATAGCTTTGGAGATTTTTATTTGCCAGCTACTAAATAGTAGTTATAAAACATTTGTTCAGGTGACTTGTTTTGATTAAGATTAGACAGTAATGGCTAAAAAAAAAAGTATTGTATTGCCTATGGAACATAGTGCCCTGCCTTTTTACAGATTGTTTACAATACACCAGTTTTAATCTCATCTTGGTTTTGTAATACTCTCTTTGTTTTTGATGTTGAACTATTTCACGCTGAGGGTGTGTGTGTGGGGGTGTGTGGGGGGTTGGGCGCAGTTGTACCACGTATCTAAATAGATTTAAAAAAAACATAGCTTCAGTGATAAAGTACAGTAAATAAAAACTCAATTTGAAAAATAAAACAAGTGAAATCATTACTGAAAGCTGAAAACGTACTTCTAATTCAACATTTTCATAAATAAAACGTGCAATCTACTGGATGTGTACTTTTTAAATTAGATTACAGAACGTTGTCCCACACAAACATGTTGTTAGTCCCAGGTCAGCTCTGTCACTGACACACATTTACAACTTTAACCCAACACTCTAAAGCAAACAGACAATATGAGCGTATTTATCACACACCGATCTGCTGCAGCCAAGGCTGTTTTTTGCTTAACGTGCAAAAAGTAGCCTCGGGGAAATCTAGACTACTTTATGACAACGTTAAATTGTAGGTACTGCTGAAAAACCTTACCAGGAGTCGAAAAGTCCTTGGACACCATTTAATACAAACTTTCCTCCCCCAAGTATCGAGTAAATGTTATTCTGGGAGACGTCCCCCGGACCGCAGACATGAATGAGAGCAGGAGGCGGAGCCAATGACCAGCTTTTAAAAGACGGTTTTTTTTTAATTTATTTATTTTTTGCCCTGAACGGTTGAAGCTCAAAACCTATTAAACATAGGAGCTTCAGATTTTTCCTTGGTTATTTAGCTCTGATTAAGGGCTATCCATCAGGTCAACCAAGCCCCCCCACACACACACACAAAAAGACCCCCACCCAAGCTACCACAATTTTGGGATGCACCTAGTAGCATGACAMTTATTAGGAATAAAGACTTCTAAGTTCTGGTGCATTTGTGCGTGCAGGGGCCATTATGTTACCACTATGCTGTATCTAGTTATATCAGTAATCGTAACACCTGTATTGAAAGTATTCCACTTATTCAAGAATTCAAGATGTGCCTTTGAGGAACATAAAGATAAAAGGTAAGGGTTAAAATGAGAATGCTTGTTGAATAATGCCTTCATAAATTGTTTATACACTCAATTTTTTTGTTTTCCATTCACATATATTTTGCTTAAATTTATACTTCTAGTTGTTTACTTTTATTATACTGAGGCTGTGTACCTTATGAAAAAAATCAGAATATGGTCACTTTTTTATTCTCACACATATTGCAGGAGGACTGCAGGATAAACACTTGTAACATTTTCCTTTTGATATGTGAAATGAATTCATTGCATTTCTTGTTTCTTTATTCACACACACAGGCAAAAATAACCAACAACTAACAGGGGAAGTGACAGCTAAAAATGACTCAAGAGGAGCTAAGGGTCAGCAGCTGGCAGACATGGCTGCAAAATCCAGTGTGGGGATCCTTTGATGCCCTGCAGCTCCCAACTTCCCACGTCCAATATCCTGTGGGTACATCAATAACAAAAGAAAATTACATAATAAATACTAATCTATGAGCATGGTATTAGCTTTTATTTTTGATGCAGTCAGCCATTCTACATTTGAATGTTGTTAAAAACTAAATGTCATGCAGAGAAACAATTTTGTATTTTGTCAAAATACATTTTTTGATAGAAAAATCTTCATACAATTTAGTAAACTGCAATACTACATGGGTTTACTGAGACATATGTTTCTATCCAGGTGGAGAGTAAAACATAAAAAGCTCTCTCTCTTGATATTTAGGCTACCTTGTGATACGGTTTGATTCTTACTCTTCTTCTTGTGGTGCTTTGTGGCGGTTGGTAAACAACACCATTACACCATTACATTATTTTAATGTAAGTGTACATTACCTCCACCTACTGATTGAATCAAAATGGTTTTTCATAATCTTGCTATTGTTTTTTTTTCTAACTTCGTAATTTTAAAAAGAAAATCTTTAATAAATTTGGAATATTCTGTATACTTTTACTTGGACCTGTATACTTAATGTTTCTCAGTTGTATTTATTGCCTTTTCACTGTTTTGAACCTCGAGCGTTGCCGTTATGCCATGAGACGAGCGCTATGACACGGGAGTGTGCAGGCTGCAGCAATGCATTCTTGCAAACTTCCAAGATTCCAGACCGCAGCTCCAGGCTGCAGGCTGTGATTTACACAAACAAAAATATGCTTAACTGACTGAAATCTTCACGGATTTATAGTTTGGTTTATTGCAAAAGTTAATGATGTGACTATGATTTGGGGTAGTTAGACATGTTGAGAATGCAGCTTTTATTTTTTTTTTTGAACTGTTAATTGTGTTGTATAGTTGTGTGTCACAGCTAGCTTCTTGTGAATGTTATTGTTATCAAGGCTGGTCAAGATTTTAAACTCTTAATGAGCTAAGTTTTTCCTGAGACCAGTAATGATTTTATGACAAAGTAGTTTTTCCAATGACAATCTTCATCATGATTGTATGGAAGCCCATTTCCGCCACCCTGATAAAAAAATTAATAAAATTTGTATCTCATAATTATGAGATAGCTATCTCATAGTTATGATATAGCTATCTCATAATTATGAGATAGCTAGCTAAGTCATAATTGTATTTATAATTGTATTTATAGCAGGCTAATAATAAAAAGCCTGTGATTAAGACCCAGCTAGATTTCAACCCAACAATTTTAAATGATCAGGAGCACTTTGTTTTTAAACTTAACTGAAGCTGCACCTGATTTACAAGCAGCATGGTTTGTTAAAAACAAATTGTTGGTTTGTGTTTACAGAAGTAAACCTACACAACATGTCTGACTTTTGTGCAGCCTACAGATGTTCTAACAGCTGTAGCATCAAAACAAAAACCTGTGGATCACCTTTCACCTGTAAGCTCTGTGACAGTATTATTACTATTACTTTATGAAAAATAAATGAGAGACATGCTACAGGACGCAAACACCTACAGAGTATTACAAAAAGATCCAATAGAAATAAAGACAAACAAACTCAAAACAATACTAAGACCGCTTCTCAACAAAAACAAAATAAGTAAACAAATCTACAACCAACTCATTCCTACTGCAAACGTTATCCCCCGGATATATGGCACACCCAAGATACATAAACCCGGGGCACCATTGCGACCCATTGTGGACAGTATCGGATCGGTCGCTTACAACCTCTCAAAATATCTTGCAGGCATCTTGAAACCCCTACTTGGCAACTCAGACCAACACTGTGAAAATGCTAAACAATTAACAGAAGAACTAAGCAACATAAAAGTAGCAGCAGAAGAAATACTGATATCACACGTTGTGGTATCTTTATTCACTCGAACCCCAGTTGAAGCTACACTGCACAAAGTAAACGGACTGTTGACCGGAGACAAATCACTCAGGAAACATACTAAACTTACAGCACAGGATATATCCCAACTTCTTCATCTTGTTGCAACATCTTCTTTTTTCCAATTCTGCAACACCATTTACAGGCAGAAGGAAGGTTTTGCCATGGGGGACCATTTGTCGGCCATCCTGTGTGGGTTTTTCATGGAGGACCTGGAGAAAAAAGCCATTACATCGGCCCCGGAGCACTGTCGACCAACATTGTGGAAAAGATATGTTGACGACATACTGGAGAAAGTAAAAATGGGACACACACAGTTTATCACAGAACATCTAAACTCCATGGATGAGACAGGAAACGTAGAATTCATACATGAGGAAGAAGAAAATTCCATAGCCTTTCTGGACATAAAAATCTCACATGATGCAGACAGTGACATTAAAATTAACATTCATAGGAAACCAACCCATACGGATCAATATTTCTATGGACATCAGAACACCCCACAGCACACAAAATGTCGGTGGTCAGAACCTTACACGAACGTGCACAGATAATAATGGAGGAAAATGATAAAAAAGAAGAGGAAAAACATCGAAAAAGCACTAAAAGAATGTCAATACACAAAATGGGCTATAAAAAAGGGGAAAAAACAGGTGGAACAGAGAAGAATAAAACCAACGAAAAAATACAAATCACAAAGAACAGAAAAGCAAGGGATGGTCATGCTACCATATATATA